GGCTCTCAGTGGGATCATTTAACCACACCAAATCCCCGACTTCATACGGGTCGTGCCTCATTCTGGCGTCATAGTACGACTTCTGTTTGCTGCTTGCAGCAAAATTGTTATCCCTTGTCTGATCAAACGCCGTGTCCAAGCGTCTGAGAAGGGAACCAGCAAAGTCTTCCCGGGGACCCTGCACCAGATCATCCCGCTTTGGAACCAGTAAAACATCCACAGGAGTCCTGGCCTCCCTGCCATGCGTGAGAAAATACGGCGTGAAGCCTGTGCTGGAATGTACACTGGTATTGTACGCAAATGCGACCTGTGACAGAAAAGAGTCCCACTCCCCCTCACATGATAGAAGAGATTTCGCCAACTGATCGATAAGTGTCCTATTAAACCTCTCTACCATGCCATCAGACTTCGGATTGTAAGGCGTGGTGTGCGTCTTCTTCACACCTAACACGCCGCACAAATGCCTCACAACATCTGATTCAAACTGTCTGCCCATATCAGTGTGCAGAGTTTCCATTACCCCATGCTCCAAGATGTAGTTCTGGAAGAGACACTCCGCGACCGTCGGGGCTTTTTGATCGGGGATGGCATACAGATTTACAGATTTTGTGAAATAGTCCTCAACAACCAACACATACCGGTTGCCTTTTGATGTGACCGGCAACTCCAGTATGTCAGCCGCCACACGCTGGAAAGGTCTAACTGCATGTGAAGTTCTCATGGGGGCATGGTGTTTAGGCACCGGGGACTTCCTTCTCTGACAGGCATAACATTGGTCACACCACGAACGAATGTCACTGTCATGGAGGGCCAATAGCACACACTTCTTGCGCGTGCCAAAACGCGATCATACGCCAGGTGAGCAGTCAGTGGAGCACCATGCAAGTGTCCCAGGACCTCTGGAACTAAGACAGCAGGAACAACAACCTGAGTAGACTACTCTGCCTCAGACAGCCAAACAACTCTACATAAAAGTCCCTCCACAAAAGTCAGCCGGGGAAACTCATGCCAAAGTCTCTTCACACCCCGACTAGCATCTTTTAACCTCCATCTAGGGGGCCGTTGGCCATGCTCCAGCCAGGCCAAAACTTGTCCGATGTCTGCATCCTTTTGCTGGAGCTCCCTAATACCGGAACCATCATGTGACAGAGTGAAGATTAGGGTCTGGTCCACTGAAGACCCTGAGTCAGGAGAAGGAGGGCCTGAAATCGGTCCTTGAGCTTGGGCCGTGGCAGGAGTCCCCACAGCACACACATCACTAGGACCACTGTCCCCAGCGCCAGGGAGAATTGTACTCAAGGGAGCGGATGTGGCATCGAGACTGCCTGAGTTCTCCAAAGCTTCAGGGGTGTCAGGCCTGCGTGAAAGGGCATCTGCATTTGTGTGTTTGGCCCCACTCTTGTGCACAATCACCTAGTCGTATGGGTCCAGCTCCAGAGCCCAACGGCTACGACGCCCCGTCCTGTCATTGTCAACCTGAAGTCGTCGCAGACCCAACAAAGGTTGATGATCTGTGATAATTGTGAAGGGGAGAAGACCCAAGTAATGCCTGAAATTACGCACTGCCCACACTATCGCCCACAGCTCCCTGTCGTAGGTGGACCAACGCCGTTCAGCTGCTGTGAGGGAGCGACTAGCGTAGGCCACCACTCTCTCCAGGCCATCCACTTCTTGTGACAGCACAGCCCCCACAGCAATCTGCGAAGCATCTGTACCCAGCACGAAACTCTTGGTGAAGTCCGGGTGACACATGATAGGTTCGGCACAAAGACCATCCCGCAAAAACTCAAATGCCCCCTGGCAATCCGCCGTCCACTGAAAAGGGACATCCTTTCCTGTCAGATGGTTGAGGGGGGCAGCACGCTGGGCAAAACTCCTCACAAACCTCCTATAATAAGAGCAGAGACCCAGAAAAGCACGCACCTCTGTAGCGGACCGTGGAACTGGCCAAGTCTTCACCTTATCTGTGTTACGGGGGTCAGGACGAAGCTCCCCGGCGGAGACGACGTGACCAAGGAATACCACATGATCACGGGCAAGATGGCACTTCCTGGCGTTCAATCTAAGCCCAGCTGCCCCAATCCGAATGAAGACCTCCTCCAAAGCAGACATGTGGGCCTCAAACGAACTACTGTAAATTAGTATATCGTCAAGATACACCATGCAGATGTGCCATCGGTGATTCCCACAGGGACGACCGCAGCAGGGGCCGCTCTCCTCAGCGCAGACCGCAGGATGGTTTTGGTGCCAGGGAATGGTCTCCACGTGAGCGGGGAACCCGAGACACCTCTGCGGACTTCTCACCGCGACGACCAGGCAGCGATGTCCCGCAAGGACCACACAGCCCTGGGGAACGTCAGCCAAGGCGTGGAGTGAGGTTTTTGTCTCCCTCTCGGCGGTCAACATCTCCATCCTCACACGGACGGCTGCAGGGAAACTTCCAGTGACTGGCGTCGAGACCCAGATGCCGGTTTCACCACTACAGGGTCAAATGGACTATTCTGCTGGGAAAGCGCCTGCTCGTGCATTGGACTCTTGTTCTGTGGGTGAGTCTAAGCCCACAGCCTATGTTAGAGGACTTGTTGAGGGTGTTGATGTTACTGTTTTGATTGACTCTGGGTCCAATGTTTCACTTATTTCTGAGGACTTCAGAATGTCCACGTCTGCCTTACGTAAACGTGTGCTAAATACCCAGTACACTTTTTCACGCACAGTAAATGGTCAATTGTTGGACACTCTGGGTACTGTGACTCTTCCCATACAGTTGGGGGGCAAACATTGGGAGCAGGCTGTACATGTAGTGCGAGGGGCAACACAAGCTATTCTGCTGGGGTTTGATTTCACGTTGCAGGCTCGAGCTGTTATGGATGTTGGTCGTGGTCTGCTTCACCTGGGGGATGTTGATATTCCTCTCATGCATGCCACAGATTTCATACCAGAATGTTGTTACATCTCTATGTCTGTTGATGCTATTATTCCCCCTTTCAGTGAAATGATTGTCCCAGTTAATGTGGATATTCCCCGTACTGCTGGTCTGCCCATTGACTCTTTCTTAGGCTACCTGGAGCCTGAGGTGCGTGATAACGTGGGACTTGTGATTGCACGTACAGTTGCACCTGTGAAGAATGGATGCACTGTGGCAAGGCTGCTCAACCCGACAGAGAAGGAGTTAAAGCTGCACACCGGTTCCCATTTAGGTGTGTTGCACCATGTTAAGGACTGTGATCTACTCACCCCCGCTGAGGTTTTCCCCTCTCAGCAGGGGGCTACCCCTCTGCCAGATGTGGCTGGCTTCCCGTTGTCTGCTGAACAGAGACTGCAGCTGCAGGCCTTGATGGGGAAACACCAAGGGGTGTTCGGCTCTGGGAAGGGCAGAACAGGAAACACCGGTCTGATCAAACACTGCATACAGACAGGTGATCATTCCCCGGTCAAGCGTCGGGCCTACCGTACTTCGCCAGAAAAACGGAAGGAGATAGGCAGACAGGTTCAGCGCCTGTTGGAGGATGACATAATTGAAGAGAGTTGTAGCCCGTGGTCCGCCCCAGTGGTCCTCGTCAGGAAAAAGAACAACACATGACCTCTCAACCCAATGCTTACACGTATATCAGAAATGACGCCATGTCTAATTAGTTACTTTACTTTACGATTTAACGTTTGAAGCCATGGTTATGGCTCTCTATCGTTAGCATGCTATCAATAACAACGCTAACTCTGATAGTACAAGTTAGCTGCTAGTGGTTAAAACATTATCAATGTCAAGGGACTTAAGCAAAAATTGAGCCTTATGTTACAATATACATACAGTCTTAAACAAAAATGTGGTGCCTTGGTGACATGTAAAGATAACAAAAAAGACCTAACTTACTTGAACCGCAGTGAACTCCACCATCTTTTCCCCGTAGCGCTACCTGTTCCCCGCTGTGTCGCACACTCGAATTTGTGGTTGTGCTGAGGCAGGGGCGGACTGGGACTACAAATCAGCCCGGGACTCGACCGGCCCACTTCGGTACTGCCGGCCCACCTCGGTACCGCAAGTAAATTGTCAACGGGGGGGGGGGGGTGTGCTAGTGAGTTATCCGAGCGGCCCACCTCGGTGCCGCAAGTAAACACCGCGAGGAAATTGTCGACGGGGGGGGGTGGGTGCTAGTGACTTATCCGACCGGCCCACGTCGTCCGACCGGCCCATCGGGATTCGTCCCGAACGTCCCGATGGCCAGTCCGCCCCTGTGCTGAGGCCTAATTGGCAAGTGCACTAAGCTCGTTCATTTTGGTTAAGATAAAAATATTTACATTATTGGCTTGACCTAAGCAAACAAATGTCAACGTTTAACCAAGCTCTTATCACAGGGGAAAAGGTTGAACCCAAACTTATTTATAGACCAATTTATTTAATATCTTTGGTGTATTTTTCCACACGTGGAAACATGGAAACCGGTTCAAAAACAGCCCAAGCTATCAAATCCCGCCCAATCAAATGGAGAGAAGCTGAAGATTGGCTCTATTTGACAGCTGACACTAAGAACCGCCTTCTTCAGATTGACAACCAATAATAAACGACAACCTGTGACCAGAATTAGCTAGAATTAGATATTCACTTTCACATGTTTACCATCTTTACCATGTTCTTATGTTTACATTTGCAAGTTAGCACTGAACATAAAGTGCAGCTAGGCTTATAGGATTGTATTTTTAATTTTTTGGCATGTGTATTGTTGAATTGCATCCCCTGTGGACCATGAATATCTGTAAACAATTTCAGATCAATCCACCCAAAAGTTATTAACCTATATTCATTTAAAAAGTAATTTATAGCAGCAATTAATATCTATGGATCTATACCCAAGAATGTGCAATTGATCTGGTAGATGAAATTAAGGAAAACCAGAAACTGCTGTTGGCACTAGGAAAAGAAAATGTCATGGTGGTGCTTAAGGAAATGTCAAGGCATGGAAGAAATGGGTGATGGCAGTACAAAACATAAGAAGCCAACACCATGGTAGTAGTAGCAAGTTTGTTTAATTTACTAATTGAGAACGGGATCGTGATTCACATCACAACACTCATTATACACATATCCCTTACAGCAAAAAATATGCATTCAACACCTGAAGATGTAAAATAAATCAAAGCAAGGGAGTCTTCGATGCATGTCACTGCAAAAACAATAAAACTGGATGGATGGCTATGGACGAGAGAGTAGTGTTTTTTTATTTTACATCCTATTAGAACTGTAGTGTAAAAGAGTGTAGTCTCAGACTGTAACATACTGCTGGTGTGGTTGTAGTGTTTAATCACTTGTGCAAGTTTTGTGCAACACAACAGTTTTCTCATTGGCTCAAATTATATAGTTATTTTTGTAGTTATGCTTATGCTGGTTACCATATACATATGCATAAACCACATTGTATCTGTACGCTGAGCATTGTGAAGTATGACACCTGAGAGCTGGTGGTAATGTGTGAATAATCCACTCAGTCACTGAGCAGCCAGTCAAAGACTTAGGATAGAAACAGCTGTAAGAGGTACGGGTAAACAGTTATTCCCAAAGCATCCTTGTTATTATGATACAACAGAGGGAAAGCAACAAAACAACACAAACACAAATTGTACATTGCTGAACACAGCAGACCTCATTTGAGTGACAAAAGGCAAACCATGGCTCTGGTGATAGTGTGGGATACTGACCAATTTGTCCCTGCATAGAGACACTTCCCCTTAGGGAATATTTCATGGGCTTCGTTGATGTGTACTAATTAAGACTCATCATTTAAAAGGAAACAATATTTTCAGTAGCAACAACGTTTTAAAAAGAGAATAAAATTAGCGCACATTCCACTTTTTCCATTACAAAATTTACCACGGAATCTGCAGCCATAACTTTGCTACCGGCTGCTTGTTCATGAGGAAATATAATGAAACAAAGTGACACATGCACTGAACATTTTGCATTCATTCCCTCCAAAGGTTTAGTGCAGAAATGTCTGTGCTGAGCCAAATACAACTGAGAAGAAAATATATATAAGTAATAACTGTCTTTATCTTTGGGTATACCAGATACATTCCCCAATGTTACAAATATCCCCAATGCCTATGTATGTATGAAAATGCATTTAGGCGGCAATTCAGACTTTTGTTTTTGTATTTGGATGTCATATTTTAATACTTACTATTTTCCTTAGTTAAAAGGAGTCTAATGAAGGAACAATTGGATAAAATACAGGCAAAAACTTAAGGAAAAACTTAAGGGAATTTACAGATCTGGGGTTGTAACTTTAAGTCCAAATTATTTAAAAAATGCAGTTTCTTTCAATACAGATAAAACACAATTTAATAAGCCCTCAGATCATAAATGTAAATAGAGCTTTTGTAGCACTATTTTTCAAATGTTAAATTTGAGTACATTCACTTCTTGATAATACATTATTTAAATATAATGCAGCGCTCACATTAAACTCTTTGGAAACTCCACTGCCTAAAACTTTGCAATGATAATGAGTTGAGAGCTACAAAAGAGCTGATATCGAGTCAATTATGTACATTTTACAATCACATTGACTCCTATTGGGATTTCCTGAAAGGCTTTTGGGCTAAAAAGATGTACCTCACATTTTTCCTGCAGAAAAAAGGGTTGACACAAACAACATAACACAACAAAGGGTAACAAATAATATACACAACCCAGGATAAGATAATAAATCATAAAAACCATAAAAACAAAACGTACAATCTAAGGTATCGAGTCACAATGAGAGATCCCATTTACACGCCAGGTAGCAAATACTGGACTGAATCCAACATCAATCTGTTAGGATACTTTCAGGTCAGGACGATAAGAATGCAGCAGTTAAAGGAAATAAAAAAAGTCAGTACCATAAGTATGGGGGGACAGAAATGGGAACAAGCAGAGGAGCATGGAAGAGGACGTTGGATGGATGGAAGGCAGTAAGGACTAAAGAAAGTAAAAGGAGGTCGCAGATGTCTCACTCCGGAGCCCCGTTTGCCTTTTCTGTCATCCTCTCTTCATCCCCCATTTTCTGATGCTGCAGTCTGGCATAAGTCACCGCCTCTCCTCTGAGGAAAGAAAAAGGGAACACAGGAGGCAAGAGGAGGAGGGTAATGAAAAGTTATGACCAGGGAGAGGGGGGGTAGAAACAAAGAGAGAGCGGGTATGACAGGAGAGGATAACATTGTTAATTGCAAGGTTATGACATGGCTCACCTTGTCAGAAGAGCATTTGCATGAATTAAGAGGCTCATTATTGTTGTTAGAAGCATAAAATAAAGATCTTATGAAGTCATTTTAATGTTGAAAAAGGAATTTAATGAGAGCCTGTTATAATATGACCTTTTAGAGGAGTGATTTGATGAAGGAAACATCAAGAGATATGAGTAATTGCAAAAGGTCTATATTGCACAGCTGTTCAAATAGATTCAAAGAAATAAGTTGTGTTTTAAGAAATAGATGATACATTATAAGAGCATATTATATATTACGTCATTACATGTTAAATCATCTTACTTTTTGCCCAAAGATGCGAGGCCGTACAGAACTCCTGTAGCAAAGGCGATGGCATTTCCAAACAAGGTTGTGAAGGAGAAACTCAAGAATACGGGAAACAGAGCCAACCTGTAAATGAACAATAAAAGGGAAGAAAAGTCAGTAAATTATATTAAGTACATGCTGGAGATAAAACAGCAACATTCCCAAGAGTGTCTCCAAATGCTTATGCAATATTTTTTCATAAAGTAAAGTACAGACTCCGTTGACATAAATGCATATTAGTTCTTACCCGCAGTAGAAGAAGGCTTTCTGCCAAGGTTTGAATTTGTCTGCACGGGCTGCTATTGCATTAGCAAACTCTATGAACTGGCAACAGAATGGGACTTCACACAGGAACAGCACAAAGGCAGTCAACCTTGAGAGAGAAGAAAAGGAAACACATACAGCAGTGAATATCAGCTACATTCAGGATTCATTGTTTTTCTCAACTTATTAAAGCCTAGGTGACATTGCAGCTAAGCTTTGACTGCAGACAGTATTTTTTTAATCTGGGAAGAAAACCAAAACCAAAGCTGGCTGAGGCTTGTGCTAAATTCTTCAAATTCTGGACGAATCAATGCGGTCTTTGTTACAACATGTATATTCTCAACAAGAATGTCTGAACGCCTCCGTCATTTGAGCAGCAAGTTGTGTCAACATGTCTACATGATAATACTATAAAAGATACATTTAAATGAACTGGTGGTACGAGTGCATAATGCTTGTAAATGTTAATCTTCATAGAATTGCTCCCATGGATCATGAAATGTATTATAGTTTGTATGTTTCCTTTCAGGAGATGTCTAAAACAGTAACATCTGTGCCTGTAACTTATTACAAATTTAGTAGAACAAATAAAGTACTGTCTTGTTCAAATAATAAATTATCATCGTGCTGTTTAAAACCACAACTTCACTGTGCATTGTGGCAAAATGGACCTGAGCTTGAATGAAGCACAGTATACAGAGCTTTGTACAGTCTAAATAAGTGGTGTTATAGTATGTGTGTTGTTGTTTTTTTACTGAATTCCAACAGCCTATAAACCAAAAAGCTATTTTTCAAAGTTACATTTAAGTAAGCAGAACAAATGCTAAAGACTTACACCATCCATACTCCAGCAGCGATGTTTAAAGGGTTGACAGTAACACAGTTCCACACTCCTGACACGGCACAGGCTGCACAGAGACAAGACAAAGTTAAAGGTTATGAGTAAGATAAGACATATGACCGATAATGAAAACATTAGACCGGACCATTAGTTATAAAAGCCATGATAACTAAATACTAATTTTAATTTACAGTGCTGGGTTAGTACCAGGTTAGTACAGGCTGTGCGCTAAAAACAGCAGAAGAAAATCAGCAATGCAGAACATATGGAGAATGTACAGTATGTGGATGAAATGCACAACACACAAACATATAACATATCTTTCAAAAGCAGCATACGACTGCCTGTTAATATAACTGTTTTTGAAAACATCTGAAAAACACTGAATACAATCCAGGAATCCAACATTTATATAAAGAGGCAGTGAAATTACCGCAGGCTTTATTTCCCTGCTATAGATTACTTTATGATAATGTCAGCATTTTCAATGCAGGCCTTTTCTAGCTTTCACCATTACTATTATGTGTTTAAAAAAAATGTCATTATGTTACTGTGCCCCACATGCAGGGCTAATGGTACCTGCCTTAAATGTGTGAAAAGTGTAATATGGGATAAGCCTGACCTCAATGCTGGTGTTTTCATAAGTGGTGATAAAGATGTGAAATATTTTAGTCAATGTGTGTGTGAGGTTCTGAAATAAGGTGTGATTTGACAACATCACACATTTTGGAAGTGTTACAGTTAAAGCAATTTACACAGCATCAGTAAGTCAAACTATGTTGCCAGTCCTAGAATATATAAAATGCAATTATCAGTTGTTTTCAATCTAACACGAAGTAATCAACCATGCAACACTTCTGTGGTATTTGTAGTTTTTGCAAAATAAAAAAACAAGATTAAAATAATTGCTGTCACAAAAACATTTCCGATGATTTACTTATAATTTCAGCTTTAGAACACAGATAGATAATGTTTCCCTTTTGCTTTTCCTTCTCTAACAAGTCAAAAGTCAAAAAGTCAAATGTGAGACAGATGTTTTCAACAGAGTAAAATTGCCCAAATGCCACACTTATTTATTTCACTACTGAGGAGTAAAGGAGATGTTAAAAAAACATTCCTAACATTTGTGCCTTGGCATTTCTTTCTTATTTACCAGTGTCAATTATTCCTCATTTATAATTATATGGTACTTAAAGGCACACATTTATTCAACTAATATGCTAAAACCAACACAAAGTAAAGTATTTGTATTTGAGAGTTGACAATGTACAGCAGTTTCAGGCTGAAACTCAGTGAGAAGAGAGGGTACATTTGCCAGTAGTGTGTATAAGCGACCTGTCAGTCGAGACTAGCCCACACTATCACAAACAATGGAAGAATAATGTAGTATATATCCAGCTTCTTTAGACAATCCAGCCTCCTTAATAATACAGAGTCCATTGAATATGCAGTGCCCCAGCTGGTTAATGTGATACAGGCTGTGTGGCTCTGGTGTCACCTGTGAAGGAGAGCTGCAGTGCTGCTGGAAAACTGCAAAGCCAGCAGTAAAAATAGCCTGTCTCGCACTGAGGGGAAGAGTAAACATACCAGCTATGGACTGTTTGTTCATATCATACAGATGAAAATCAGGAATATCATAGTGTTATGGAATGAGCAAGCCATGCAAACAGGCGGTGCCCAAAACTGTCTGCTACAGGGAGGGGACAATGGGCTGGGACAAAGCTGTAGTCTGGCATGGCTCAGCATTACAGTTAGGTATATATAGTATACACAACATGTTGTTGTTTTCCAAAATATTAACCTGATCCCCTTTCTGTCCTGTTTTATATTAATGCAGAAAGTGCAAACAGTATAAAAGTATGCTGACAAGACAATACATTCACCTGCTTCCTACAGAAAAGAGCACATAAAGTATTTGTAAACTGGCACCCTCAATAGTTGTATTCACTGTACATTAAATAGACAGATAGATAGCTATATAGATAGATAGATAGATAGATAGAGAAATAGCAATGTACTACAGATAGACAGTGTCTAATACATACATTACATTTGTGCAAAGTAACAAATTGTACTTTGATATTTACTTACATACTCCTCCTAAAACTCCAGCTATTTTGCAGAGCCATCGGTACCACCATGTCATGCCATCATCCTCTGGAGGGGTTGCCACGGGGGCGTCTGCCTTCTCCTCGGTGTTCATTGTGTTTGTATATCGATGTTAGCTAAAAAAGCTAAACCGTATTTACAGATGTGAAGCCTCTAAGAACCTAGCACAATTAAGTTAGCAAGTCTAAACAAACTAACTGCTCACTCGTTTAGTACTACAAAGCGGTCCCTTTCAGCACTGCTGTATGAAATTAAAAATGTAAAGTATATTTAATTAGTTTTTTCCTTTGTTTCTTTGTGTTTTCCAGCTGAGCTGATGTTGCCAGCAGCTTCTCCCCGTCAGTTGGTACCAGCTAACCGGCTAGCTGATGCTAACAGCAGCGCCACCAGCTGCCGCTAGGAGTGGATATCAACACAGAATCCGTTTTGAATTTCCTTTAGTAATCAGATAAATGAACAAAGCTTCCCTAAACTCTCTTTAAAAAGATTTAAACAATCCCCTCGTTTTGTTCGGGTTCAGGTAGGGTAGTCTGCTCCGTTGTTCTCTTCCCAAGTACCCATTCAATAATGTCTGAATACTACATAACAAGTAGAAGTCCTATTATTCAAAATGATTAACAGCAAAATAAATGTTTGAAGTGTGTACAGAAACCAAACTGAGTGCCCATGCAATGAAACAGGTTTTGCCTGTTGTCATAATTCCTTCTGTAGTAACCTTTAATAAATCCCTTCATAATGTACTTTTATTGGACTTGCTGGAGAACAAAATCCCCAGTCTCCGTCTTTTCTCAAAATCTAAAACAAATATACTGTAAATAACAGTGTGATTTTCAAGTCTCTATCTTCAGAGTTGTTATAGTACATCATTCCTTCTTTATGTTTCCCGGGAAAGTGTTTCTTTCCTTTATTTCCTGAGAGGTAACATTCTTGATTATTAAAACAATTTCCCCCAACTTCTTTACAAATCAAGGCAAGAGGAAGAATCTTTTTCCATTATTAAATGTATCTTTAATCACTCATTCACACTTTTATATACAACACATTCTTCCCAAATCACTCATTATCCATTTCCTTTCAAGGAAATGCTTCATAACCATGAAGATTTTGCATCTAACATTGTCTTTTAGCAGCTTTGTATTTCAATGCCTGCTCCACAAATATGAACTGTTTTTCAACTGAACTTCTTAATCAAATTGGATAGACAAAAAAAAAAAAAATGGGACAAAATTCAGCTCTGCAGATAGATGACTGTCTGTTTTAGGAGTGGTAGATCAGTTATTTCAACAAAGTCTGCTCTAGCCAGAGTTAGTGTTTTTGGACTGATTGCATTCAGCCTTTAGTGAAAGCAGGCTTCTCTCACTCCGACAGCAGAGTGGCCACTCGTGGGCTCCAAGTCCTTCGGCCGTGCCTCCTCTCCTCCATCAGCAGCGACGGCTTCCTCTTCCCTGTTGGCGTGTGGCAGAGCATGACATCGACGGTCTGCTGGGTCACCTGATCAGCCTGCTCCAGATCTTTCACTATCTGCTCCACCTTCAGCATGTGTGTACCGCCTTCAATCCGCAGGCGCAGCAAATCCACCTGAAACAGGTCATAGGAGGCCACTGAGCTCACTAGCGGTTTTTCAGAGATTTACATATTCATATCCGTAGATTTTTCATTTTTTATCTTGGGTTAAAATCCTTTAAACCACAGAAAAAAGCATTGACATTAATATTAATTGAAATGTGTAAAATATTTAATTAATGCACCCATAGATATCTGGATTTATTTTTTTAAGTTGATATTGAGCAAACTTACCACCTCCTGCGAAAATTCAGGCTTCTTGACAAAAGAAACGCTTTTTGGCGTCAAGGCTGCAGACAGCAAGGATATGACGTCTGTCACTTCTCCTGACATTACTAGTATCATAACCTAAATCATCATTTAAAAGAAGAATATATTATGAACTCAACATAAACCACAAGTAGTTAAGTACACCATAGTTAGGATGCAGACTTGCCTTTAAATTTTGCCATAATAGGATGTCAGGAACAATTATTTGTGAGAACAACGACTGTGCCTTTTCTATGTCGTTCTGGAACAAAAAGAAAGGAAAACATATACTGTATTATGAATGACAATTTTATATTTTCACATCTCTGTGCATGACAGAAAGGTGTGAAGAAGATCTTACTAACCTGTCGAAGTGCTAACGCTACAGCAAAGTAGAGAGCATGTCTGGGGACGTTCATCCCATCAGTCAGTCCCTCCTCGATCATAGCAGTGCACATCCTGTAGGACTCTTCCGTGTTCTGAACAACATAACACACAACTAAATAACTGCAAAGAGATTGTACATCTTACAACAATAACTGATGTATATTGGAACTGTAATGTTCATTTTTTAAAGAAATTATCTGTACATGTTGATTGGTTTGTTTTACCAGCTTATAGAAGGTGGCAGATGCCAGTGTCATTGTGTTTATGTTGAATGGTACAGGTTGTTTCCTCATGGTTGTTAGTACCTCTAGGCAATCTGCAAAAGGCAAAGTTTGATATATTATATGTGATTGTATGAAAAATAAAAAATAAAACACTTGAAGGTTAATCTGTCACCTACTTTCATAATAGCCTTTAGTGAATAACATGTCTAAGGTGATGTTGAAAGATGTTACATCGCAGAAAAATCCACTTAAACTCTGTTCAGAAAAGTAAAAGGAAATGTTATTATTCCAACACTGTCTGGTTTAAACTTTGTCAATAGTACCATAACAAATGTTTTTATCCAAGTTAGACAGCATATCGTTTTTTGTTTTTTTTAATGTTCTTTTTTACCTTATCCATAATTGTAGCAGCAGCGAAGTCCTCCATACCCAGCTCATAGCACAGTCTCACAAAGAGAGGACCAAACCTGAAGTCTTTCAACATTGAGTTCCGGTTCTCTGCGTGATACCTAGTGATTGCAAATTAAAGGATAATAACAGGTTAGATAAAATAATAAAAAAGGGTATTTATTATTTATACGGATATGAATGTGCAGCATTTGCATTACAAAATGGAAAGATTGAAAATATAAGACAAAAATAAGGACATGTAATAGCTACAATTCTAAAATTAGTGTAAGAGCATATGAAGGTCAAATAAATATGCTTGTACAGTATCGAATTGGAGGTCTGAGTAGTGTAATAGTAGGAGGACATGGTTAAAGAATAATTAATTATATATATGACATTGCACTAATGTCATATTATGTCCTACCAGTCAGTGGTAAAAAGTTGAGTTGTAATAATAAAATATACATAAAATTGATGATGATAGTCAAAGCCATTGTAGACATATTTTATTAAGTGAAGTTGGTAGCATCTGGTATTGTTCAGTTTAATATTGGTTACGGCATTTTGGAGAATAAAAAGAGGATAGGAAAATTATTTGATACTGTAATGGATGCTTGAAATAACTATCAATAAAGGATGTATCATACCTAGAGATGGCATCTCTGGCGATCACCATGTCGTCTGCGGATTGGCACAAGTGAAGGAGAAGCTTCAGCTCTTCTCTCAGAATCAGGTCATTCCTCTGTAGCTTCTGACTGAACAGCTCAATATAATTTCCTGTAAAATAAAGTAAAGATATAAGCTCTTACTGTGTGGATCATAATGCAGGACATAAAACTGCAGCTTTAGAAACATTAAGAATAAATAGTTCACCTTTAGCTCCAGTGAGAAGGTGAGCCATAGCCAGCTTATTTTTCTGGAATTCTTGTAATTTGATAACATCTTGTGATAACAGATGCCTCTTAGCTGCAAAGAAAAAATACAGTGTTGAAAGAAGAATTCAGATATTTTAATTAATAAAAGTAACACAACTACAGTTTAGAAATACCCCTAGATTCCAAATTCAAAAGCAAGTATTAGCACCAAAATACTCAAAGTAGGCTACCAAAACATTTCCCATATCATACTGTAGGATTATAATTAGTGATGCATTAATGTCATTTCAGGTCTCCCTTGAAAAAGAGATCAATGATCTCAAGGGATACACCTGGATAAATAAAGGCTTGCAATGAAATTAAATGTGCGTATCATTTTGATATTTCTGCTAGTAAAGGTGAAACTCATTTAAACACATTTTATAAATAGGTTGTTAGCTTGACCTGTTTTAATATAAATTATGTATTAGTTTATTCATATGTTGTATTTATTGTATATTATGCTGTTATTGTATAATCTGTATGTAAAGTACAATATAGAATAGAGTAGAAGTACAGTAGAAGTACAGTTTTGCATTAAATGGAAATACTCAAGTGAAGTAACGTTTTGCCTACCAGTACCTCACATTTCTACTGAAGTACACTACAAGTTAATGTACTTTCCACCATTGCCAATAACTCAAAAAAATGAACTCTATGTTGAGTAAGCTTGTACCTGTATTACGAATGTCCGAATTTAATGAATGAAACGGACATAAAACTGCTATACAATGCAAGTAAAACTGCAGGTAGTACACCGTGTTTTGGTGGGTTTTTATGATGCATTAAAGACATTTACAGGCAGCTGTAGTATCCTTGCACACACATGTGGGTTATTTACATGCTGCCAGTGTAGCATCTCTGTCTGTTAAACCAGCTAGTTTTGAAGGTCACCTGACAGGAAACATATTGAAAAGTTGTGTTTAATTTACCTCCTGTGCAGCATTCAATCCACCCTGGCTGTAAAACTCCAACAAACAGTCCTTTCGAAGGTTCATGTACCAACGACCGACATAATTTACCAATCCTGGCCAGCGCCATCATGGATGTATAATTCTTGTTCTAGGCGAAGTCCCTCCCCTTCCGGTTCTTCTTCTTCTTCTTCTTCTCTTTTTAATGGCGGATCGCAAACAGCTTTTGGTTGCATACCGCCACCTACTGTACACGAGTGTGTATCATGTCATCCCTCTAATAAACCAGCATATCGAAAACATAAAACTAAGAAACCATAAAATAAATAAAACAAAAAACAAATCATCCATGATCTATTCTAACCTACTGTTAGATTATTTTCCCTATCCCAGTTTCCCTCAAAAAGGTGAACAGTGCCTTTCTGGTAGCTTTCTCCTTCTCCTTCTGTTCCCAGAATACCAGCTACATTCCACTCCCTCTCTGCCTCTAAAACTTTATCCCTTAATTTTCCTCTTTCAACTCTATAGGTGACACAATGTAATAAAATATGTTCCACATTTTCCCTAACTCCACAGTTCCCACATTTGTCACTGTCACCTTTCCCCATGACATACAGCGTACCATTCAATGCAGTGTGATTTAGTCTGAGCCTAGCTATCATGATTTCCTCCCTTCTGTTTATTTCTTTATAAATATTAATTGTAATTGTCTTT